GGGGGGTGCCTATGCCCCACGCAGCGCTGCCGGCGTGCTGAAGCTGCAGGGGAAGGGGGAAGCGGGGGGAGGAGCTTTTGCTGCTGGAGAGGCCCCAAGTGAGCGGCTCAATCCGTCGCGACTGCCCTGTCAGCCGCTTTTGGGTCTTTAAATAGCCATCCGGGGGGAAATCCCGGACATTTTTAGCTTTTTACAAATTCTCCCCGGACGGCTATTTAAAGACCCAAAAACTGGACATGTCCGGGGAAACCCGGACGTATGATAACCCTACCCTTCCCAATCTCCCACCAGGTCTAGCTCTTGCTCCCTCTGCATTCAGATAAGGTACCTCTTCCATGCTACCTAGGTGTCAGCAGGAGGGGCATAGAGCCAGAGAGTTTCCCTGCTTTCTGTTCCAGGGTCTGTACCTGGCACAGGCTGCAGCAACCCAGAGTCACAATTACAGAGACAGTTCTGCTAATCTCCTCACAGTCCCAGACTGGAGCATGCTTAGTGCTCATGGAATCTTCTGGAAATTTAGTTGTGAAGCTCTAGCAAATCTTTGTTAAACATGTGCAAATTGCACTCTTTCAGAGGTTTATAACTTGGGCAGATTTTCAGGGGGATCAGAAAAAGTCACAGCCTTGACACACAGGCCATCCCCTGACTAATTTCACGATTCTGCTCCTGCATAGGAGTTTCTAAGAAAAAAGAAAAAAAAAAAGTTTGCAAATTTAATATGAGCACAATGTATTTTCCCTAGCTTCATTATCAAAAATGGCTCAACTCTTTAGTCTGAAATTTTCCAAAATAATTAAGATGAGGCAGAGATCCTCATGGAAAATTTCAGATGGAATGGGTAAAGTTTTGTAAGCAAATGAAAGCAGGATCTAACAATGGGAAGTGTTCAGCAGTCTTAATAATAGGCAATGCTACTAGCCTTGCCTGTAATAACTGATCTAAATCCATCAATGAAGTGAATAAATAAAGAGTATGACAAAAGTGTTTGCTATACTAAAATATGGAAGTGTTTATAATTCTGTTCATAGTTTAACATTTTTCAAAATAATCTACTAAAATATTGCTTAGTTCGTTAGCCCAGTTAATAATAATAATGTTTTGAAAAGCTGAATTACTTCTACCTTTCATTTTTGTTTAATGAAATAGACAAATATTTTGTCTTGTTTAACTAGAAGAATAAAGATAAAACAATCAGCTGTGTCAAATGAATGATTATTTGTCGTTATTTTATGACTGTTGACTCTCTTGTCTACATCCCTCCTTCTCAGAGGGAACAGGGTGTTTTTCTTTGTTTCCCCTTCCTGGCTACATGACAGTGATCTAATCCAACTGTTTGGCACTCCCTGACATATAAAGAGTATTCCTCTGACTGGCACTCTATTAACTTTGCATGAAGCTAGGCAGAGAAAGAAGAGCTATAATTAGACCCCTGGACTCTGTTAGAACCATACACAGCTCTCCTGTTACAAGTATCACAACATTACTGATTACTTTGTCGCAATACCTTCCTAGATTCCAGAATGCTTTTCTGTTTTCAGAAGTTTACTTTTTTCCCCCCACTACAGCAGTCACCCTTACACTTCCAAATTGTCTTAGATAATAAAACCAATTAAATAATGTTTCTTAGTACGTGTAGTATTTCTGAGGTATTCTGTGTATATGAGAAAGTAGGGAAGCATATGCAATGCTACAAATACTGAGGTAATTATATCTATACTATAACTGACTTTTTTAAAAAGGTAAACAAACGATATACCTGTTCTTTAATATTTGAGTACTATTATTCTATTAAATGTTCAAGAACATTCACAAACATAAAAATAGTGATAGTTTTAAGTGGGCATAGATGTTGTAAAGCAGCACGGTGCGTACACAAAGTTGTGGAAGTTATTCGAAAAATATCTGAAAAAAGAGTCTGTTACATATTATGGAAGTCAGGGAATTGTTTTTATACTGTGCATGCAAATTGCACAGGGAGACTGTAATCATGCTCTATACCAGGGGTCGGCAACGTTCAGCATGCGGTTCGGCAGGGTAAGCACCCTGGCGGGCCGGGCCAGTTTATTTACCTGCTGACGCGGCAGGTTTGGCCAATCGCTGCCCCCCCCCGGCCGCGGTTCACCGTCCCGGGCCAATGGGGGCGGCGAGAAGCCGCAGCCAGCTCATCCCTCGCCCGCGCCGCTTCTCGCCGCCCCCATTGGCCCGGGGCCACGATCGGCCGAACCTGCCGTGTCAGCAAGTAAATAAACTGGCCTGGCCCGCTAGGGTGCTTACCCTGGCGAGCCGCGTGCCGAACGCTGCCAACCCCTGCTCTATACAATGACACCGTCGCTCAGGCTTAAAAACAGCATAAACAAGGAAACAAAGTTGCCCATGGCGCTTTTCAGAGAGAGAAAAGTTAAAGCAATCAAACGTTACTTTCCAGTTTAGAGCCAGCATTATGAGTAAATTATATTCCTCAGTAACACTTATCTGTGCACCTGTAGGTGTCTTACTGCACAAATCCCAAAGCATAAATTGTCGTATGTTGCAAATGCCCCACACCATCTCCTGTACCTAGAGAATGACATAGCCTAGGGACAAGCAAACACCACCTATTATTGTGGATGAATACTTTGACAAAGCATAAGTACATAGGCACCTTTTCATTTTACACCAGATTAACACTGTTCTTTCTTGGGGGGTGGGAAGTAACAACATGAGGAAATCAAGATATAATTACACTTTCACAACTTACTTGAAGGTTTAACTTTTACTCACCCTATAACCAAGGTCCTCAATCAGGTCACAAGAGGCAGCGCTAACATTAGTGTGCCACACTGTCTCTTTGATACTGCAGCCATACATGAATACATTCTTTTTACGAGAATGACCATGATAATCACAGTAAACCTACAAAAATTGGAGAAATAAAAGCAATGTTTTAAAACAGGCTACAGCATCAAATAATTTAAAGTTTTATATATTTCCTCATCTCTCATCCTAATTGCATTCATTTACACATACTAAAACACCAGCATTAGCAAATGAAAGGCACATTATACAATCAACCTGTTTATTAAGAAGAAAGCATAGTTTGTTTTTTCAGCACATTCAGAATAAACTGAAACTGGCCATCAGGAAGTTTAGACTTGAAATTAGATGAAGGTTTCTAACCATCAGAGGAGTGAAGTTCTGGAATAGCATTCCAAGGGGAGTAGTGGAGGTAAAAGTCATATCTGACTTCAAGACTAAGCTTGATAAGTGTATGAAGGGATGGTATGATGGAATAGCCTAATTTTGGCAATTAATTGATCTTTGACTATTAGCGGTAAATATGCCCAATGGCCTGTGACGGGACACTAGATAGGGTGGGATCTGAGTTACTACAGGGAATTCTTTCCTGGGTGTCTGGCTGGTGAGTCTTTCCCACATGCTCAGGGTTTAGCTGATCGCCATATTTGGGGGTCGGGAAGGAATTTTTCTCCAGGGCAGACTGGCAGAGGCCCGGGGGTGGGGGGAGGATTCACTTTCCTATGCAGATGGGGCATGGGTCACTTGCTGAA